GGCTGAACCACCTTGTCAAATGCCAGAACAGGGAGAGGATTCCCCCTGGCATTCTACTGGGCAGGTCAAAGTGCTGCTAGCTAATGAATTTGCCAGGCTTCCTTGTAAAGGCTGTGCCCTAGTCTGCAGTGAACAAGGAGTTAATCTCAGCTTCCACAGGTGCTCTAGGCTGAGGCCATAAGAATGAGATAGGGGGAGCTGGATGAGCAGGAGGCAGCGCATATGAGCTGTCTTGCGTTGGGAAAGGAGGGGTCCCTGGGGAAGTGTTCTAGAGCAGTGTTTCTCAACCCAAAAATGGGTTCCAAGAATATATGAAAGGGCCGTGAACATGGATCAACAAACTAAAAGTGAGAAAAACGTGGGAAACTATGGCTCTTCCCTTGCAGGCTGTCAGAGTTCCAGCCTGCAAGGGACTGCTTGGGGCCCTCCCTGCCCCACACACTGGGGGCTAGGCTCTGGGGGTGGGGACCAGCAGGTGAGGAGTGAGAGGCACTGGGTCAGGACTGGCCCTTGATGTTTATAAATAGGTCATGGTACAAAAAAGGTTGAGAACCGCTGTTCTAGAGGGCAGCCTGAGTTCTCATGCTGGGTGGGACCCCTTGTTTGTGTCCCTCTGGAGTTGCAGCCCAGGTTACCAGGGGAGAGCGCAGTGCTGCAGGTCATGTACAGTCCTGTGCCACCTCTCTCTCCAGCTTTCCAGACCCCAGGTGCTCAAACAAGTCCTGAGCCAGGCCCTGGAGGACCGCTGAAACCCTGAGGTGTTAAAGGGGAAAGCTGGTACCTCTTCCATGGCTTCCACTCACTTACAGGAGCTTGCAACTTTTAGGGGTCCTGTTGTTGTGCTTTTCTTCCTAACTATGAGTGCTAGAAATGTACTTTTTGATGACAGTGGGGTCATCCCCTGGCTCCAGGGACTGGTGCCACAGAGAAAATGCCAAATAGCATGAGACTTCTCACAAGGCTTCTTCTCAAAGCCTCCAGCAGCCAGGGCCCTACAGTGCCATTCAGGTGGAAGTATGCACCTGCTTATCAATTACATATACACACATTGACACAGGCCAGGCCTCCAACAGGCTCTGGTTCAATATGCTCAAAGCTGCTTTACACCTGTATATCTAAATGCAAATGGGGCCCATGACCCCACCCCCGTTAATTTAAAATCCTTCCCAGCAGAAGTAAAAGGTTTGCTCTAACATGCTGGGCTGAGTATCTTTGTTTCAGGTTGGGGATTTCCCTTGGAGAAGTAAATCTACCAGGGGCCTGCGCAGAGAAACTGTTGGGTTCGGCTGGCACTGCCTTGGAGAGCCGTGTTAAACTCTAAGCCCCGAGCCTTGGTAGGAAAATAGTTATTGCTCATTGCTTCCTCCTGCTCTCTCCCATAAGGCTATATCAGCCCCCAAAATGCAGGGGCCCAGCTGAATGGCTTCTCTCTAGTTTACATATCAAGGGGTAGCCCCTACCTCCCTCTTGCTGTGCTGCAGGATAGATGTAATCAGGTCCTGTTGTGTTAAGCGCTGCATGAGCAGACAACAGTGGCAGTCAGTGCAGCACAGGGCTTTTAGTCCTACCAGTCATGAACACTAATTTGAGGTCTGTTTCTCAGGTGGTAGCAGCTTCCTTCAGAGTCCAGTGCATGTCCCCCCAGGATAGTTTCAGGGACCGTAACTGTGGGGCCTGCCCTAGGGACTCAGCCCCAGTTGGGGTATGGGGTCCCCTGGCTATGCAGTGCTTGCTATGGGAAGTCACTCTGGGCTTCTGCACTGATTCTGGGGGCCCAGTTTCTGACTCTCCTCTTTCTGCAGTGCAGCTTCAGGTTTATTGGCAATGCATAAGCCCGACTGGATTCTAGCTCACGCTCCTGTCACTGTGAGGGCCCTGCAGGGCTGATGGGGGAACAATTGGATATTGCTAGAGGAAACAGATGGAGCAGATAAGGTACAACACTTGCACTAGGCTTGCTGCTCAGATCCTTAGAGGATGGGTCAAGGTGGGGCGCCAGGCATGGATAGTCAGGTCATGAATACTCAGGGACACCAAGTAGCAGCTGCTAGGGATTGGCCTGGTGATCCATTCCCAGTCCCCTGCACCCAGCTACTGAACTGGGGGCTGAGCCAGGGAGACAGTTTGTCCTTTCATAGGCAGGGAAGGCAGATGAGAGGAAAAGCCCCTCAGTAACTTTTTCCCTGCCATGTGCTGACTGCTTTCCCCTCCGTCTCAGGACCCCTGGGGAAAGCAATGTCTTTCCAGCCATGTCCATTTTGCACAGGCATCATTGCAGCCAACAAGACAAGAGGCTGGGTTTCATGTGGTAGGGCCAGAAAGCATAGCCTCTCCCTTCACTGCAGCAGGCCCCCGAATTTACCATCTGCTCCCGAGACTAGTGCAGCAGCTTAAACTGGCTGGCGTGATGCAAGCACGTCACAGTACTTCTGAGTACATCACCCCTATGGTATTAGCCCTGGCATGTTTATCCTGTGGGTATTGAGTGCTGTTAGTGTCAACAGAAATATTGTTTCTAATTATATCCCTGTGCTGGCTGCTTTTAATGTTAGAAGCAGGTGGGAACTTGATCCAGTTTGTGCTGACAGGCTGTAATATGGGCCAAAAGCTGAACAGATCAAATAAACTAAATGGATGAAGTGGCCACTCCCTGCTGCAGGCAGAACAGCAGCTGACCTGCTCCCAGATCTCATGAGAGAGCAACTCCCCATTAGATGCTGTAGTCAGAGACAGGCCCAAGCAGCAGAGCTGGTTTCTGGCTCTGATCTGGATGGGGCCTTCTCCAGCAGGCAGACTGGGAAAGTCCATCAGTGTCTGGTTGCTTTCTCCCATGAAAGCTCATCAGTTGCCTTGCAGAGGAGAGCTTCCAACCCCATGCCTCTCATGCTGGAGCCCACGAGCACTTCTGTGGACAGTGTGTGAACATGTGCACATGCAGGTGCATGCAGGCTTTGTCCAATTAGTAACTGACCCTGAAAGGAAGGAAGCAAGGAGGGAAAGAAGAGCCCCTTATCCCAGAACTGCAGGGTCCCTGCAGCACCTGGCACCGACTAGCATCCATGCTGCATAGGGCTAACTACCTCTCTACTAGAATTAGACAGACCTAGGGCTGGAGGGGGGGCCTCAAAAATGATCCTGAGAGCCCCAACCCATGCTTCATGGGCACCCTGATGCCTGTAAGACCCCTCAGTGTTGCCTGTAGCCACAGGAAATTAAACAGGTAAAGGGGAGGTTGACAGGGAGAGTGCAGTCTGACATTGCCTGCAGCTAGAGATGTTTTCCACTGAAGGTTGGGGTCAGCTGATTTAGTGCACACCCCCCCCCCCCCCCCCCCACACTGAGGCAGGATCAAACACAGCACCCCTAGGCGAACCACACCCACACTGTTGAAGAGCTTTTCCTAATGCCCAGTCTAAATTTCTGCTGCCAGTTAAGCTGATAATTTGTCCTTCTTCTAGTGAACTGGGAGAACAAGTGATTGCTGTGCTGGAGGGACTGCAGATCTGCCCCAATCTGGCAGGCTCCATGTTCCTGGGGAAGGAAAGTCAGCAGTACAAAGAGTGGCCCTAGTTCCCCCAGGATGGATCTTCATTTAAGTCAGCAGAGCTAAGCCAAATGGGCCTCATGTGTGCAGGAACCCTTGGGCTAGTGAGGCACAAGCCACATGATATTAACCCCCAGGCAGGGCAGGTGATAGCAGCTTTTCCAAGCAGAGGCTGTGATGGTGCTTACCTTGCTTTGTGAGCATTTGAAGCTACAATCATCTAATTTTACACCTGTCCAGATGCCGTGTCCATCTCCTGGCTGTGCTTTGAGTCATCATTAGAAGTACTTCCCGCCCTTGGCAAAGCCAGCAAGGCACGTGAACTTCCTGACAAAGCAAGAGATGGCAGTGAGGAAGGGCCTCTGTACCTCCCAAGGATAAGCAGAACAAGTCAGTTGTTCATCTGCTCCAACTGGGGATCAAGTCTGTGACCTTGTATTATTAGCACCCTGGTCTAATCAACTGAGCTGTTCACCTCCAGTCCTAAAGCACGAGTCACTTCATAGAAAACAGTCCACAACGTAAGGAACTCCATCTTGCAGTCTGTTGTGTTTGCTCTCACTGCTGGGAAAGCTGGCCCAGAGCATCCCTGCTCTGATGCTTAGGGGCCCTGTAACAAGGGGCCTTTCCCAGGCTGGTTCCATGCTGGCCTGCCCACCCGTCTCTGGGCTAACCACCCCCCTCTCTGACCTGCTATCCCTTGATGATACATGATTACAATGTTAATTAGCAGGAAGCTGCCCATTTTGAACCCTCATGTTCAGGGGAATCTCTGCAGCTCCATTCCACCCCTACACTGTAGCCCAAGCCTCCCAGATGGCATCTCAGGCAGCTAAACTCAACTGTACCCTTACCCCCATTAGCCGTGGTCCCCTCTGGGAGCGTCAGCTCTTCCTTAGGCCCTGGCCCCATCTCAGGCCAGTCGGGAACCCAAGTCTCTTGCTCTCTGGGCATCCCTCACAGTGGGCCCCTGGCCCTTGTATCCTTATCTGGGTCCTGGACCCAACATGGACCAGTCAAGGTCCCTCAGATTTTATCTAAGCTACTTGCCTGCTTTTACCCTCACAACTCAGCTAGAACAACTGAGCCACAGGCCTCTCTAAGCAATCACAGGTGTGGGTATTCCCCAGCTAGGACAGTGCAGGGGGCTGGAGGTTATTAGACACCCCCAACTCACCTTTCACCAGGGAGGTTTGCAGACCTGGCATTTCACAGGGCTGCTGCACCACCAGCAGCCCCACCAGATCTCCCTACCCTGGCAGGATGCAGTTTTAGGTCATGCCCAGGACCTGGAGCCTCCTCCAGCCCCAGCCCACTGACCTCCAAGAAGATATTCCTGAGCTACAGCTCAACTAGGTGATGCCTATCTCACAGCTGCTAACAACAAACTGTTGCTTCCCCTATTTATAGCCTGATCTCAAAATGACCACCGCAATCAAGCACCTGGCAGCTGCCTGCTCCGGCCCTTAAAGTGGCAGGCACCAACAGTGCCTTGCTATGGGGCCCTTTCTCCAGGCCAGCCTAAATCTACTCGTAACTTTTTATCTCACTTGTTATTGTGCCTGTAGGCAATGTGTAGGGAGTACATGGGGGTACACGTGCCCCCCTGAGAGCAAGCACTCTCAGCTTAGGCGATGGGCAGAGGGGGCAGGACAGTGCTTGCGCCCCCACCCAAAAAGTGCCACTGGTAGTTCAGGGCTTGGCATCTGGCCGTGAGGGGACCCCGCGGGCAGTCCCCGCTTGCTGCCCCCACCACTGCCGCCACCTGCGGGCGGTCGCCATGCCCTCCCAGCCTCAGGACGCATGCGTTGCCTATGCTTGTGCCAATGCTCTCCTTTAGTTCATACACATGTCTCTCCCAGCACAAGTATAGACAGCAATTACATCTCTCTGCTCTGGACAGTTGTCTTGGTGCTCTGAGCCCCAAGGCATCTCCTGTGCTCCTGGGTTAATTCCCAAGGGTTTTCTCCAGTCTGATTTTGAGGGGCTGAAACAACAGGGCTCCACACTGTCCTTTGGGAGACTATTTCACTGCCTACCATTTGTCTGCATTTTCTTGCTCCTTAGCCTGGGTTTTCCTTCATTTAATTTCATTACAGCCCTCCCAGTTCCATGTCCTCAGACTGTCCTCCTGGCTGTTCACACTTCAGAGACCTGGAGATGGTTATCAGAGCCCTCCTTACTCACAGTGTGGCCAGCAAAGCAGATCATAGGAAGAAGCATTGGACCCTACAGCAGAACAGATGGAGCTGCAGGGCTTCACATTGGGACTGAACTGTAGTACTTTTTGTCCAGGAAGGTGACTGTTGTTAATGAGAATATTTGCCCGTAGGAAACTTCTTTCTTTACAAGTACACTATGTGCCTAGTGTAGAGGCTAGGTTCAATCAGGCGGCAGCAGCTGTGTGATAGTGAAGTGGAAAAGCTCTGTGAAAGGCTCTGCTTCTCAGAGGTTAATGTAATTGCATCCTGCTCACTGGGGACCCAAAACAAAACACCCAGGGGTCCTGCTTCTCATTCACAGTACAGCCATTTGACATCATCCCGGCGGGGCAAAGACCCGGGAGGTGTTTATGTCCACCGCAAAGCTTCTTATGCTGCTAGACCAGTGCAAAGTGGGGTTAATCATTAGTGTAAAGAGCAGGCCTGATTCTCCAGTGCATGGCACTTCATGCCATAGCTTACGCCAGAGACAAGGAGCCTGAAATGCCAACACAGCACAACGGGAGGGGTTTACATTCTTTCTGCCCTGGTGTTGATGACTGGACAAGGTGCAGAGCTATGAAAACCGGGGCTGAACATCCAGGATGAAAGCAGCTTTGTTCAGTACACCGAGACCAATGGGACACAACAGACATCCCCTCTGTGGTCTAACCCAGCACACAGGTAGGTCTTGGATGAACCCTGGAATAGATTCTCTGGGGCCCCTGTCACAGTCTGGTCTGGAACATGTGAGCTTCTGGGGCTATCTCAGGATGGAGCTCATATGCCACTAATCTCCAGCCTGTGAGGATATGTCACCCAGTGCCCTGTTCCCCATGGGACATGGGACTAGTCCTACTCACAAGTGTTGGAAAGACAGCTCCAACTATCCAGGGTCACCAAGGAGAGCTCTGCTTCTGCCTGGCTGCACATACACTCTTCCCCACCTCCCTTTCCCACCTGGCGTGAATACTGTCCCACAGGACATTGGGCAACATGGTGCCTGGTGGCAGGGTTTTCATCACCTACTCACATCAGTCTTGTGTTGCTGCCTTGATGGAGGTGCTGCAGTGAGGGAGGAACCACGAGGGCTAAACCTAACTACTCTCATTTTGGAGGAACACCAATGTGCCTTGTATTGTGACAGCATGACAGGATAGCTCCAGACACGGAGCATCCAGGGAAAACATGACCCCTGCACACTATTTGGGAGAACTGGCTTATGCCATGACATCACCATGGGAGTGCAATTCTGCTGAGCCTGACACAGAAGGCTTGGTCCCCATGCTCTGGATCTGCCCCCGGACTCATGCCCTCACACATCCCTTGCCCTGGATAAAGGGATACATGCAGAGCAGAGCCCTGTGTGGCTCTGTGGATGTGCAGCCAAGTGAACCCACACCTTTGGCACACAGTATGCTGGTGTCTTTGTGCACCAGAGGAGCCCATTCGCCCACAGGTCATATGTGAGAAACAAAGCTTATGCGGAAGTGGGTCAGGAAAATACAGCCTGGGGACGACCCCATGAGGTGCACTCAGCAGG